GAGTCCTCGTGAGCACAGGGGGTCATTGGTAATTCTTTTAATACGGCATGAGAATCATAATCACTTTATTGGATCGATAGACAAATGTTTTATTCTTAGACGTTTACTTTTTATCTGTTTTAATCATCAGTCTGATGGTCACTTGGCATCGTTTTCGCTTTACAGATTGTTGCCAAGATTCACAGTCGGCACAAATACGATAGCCATGAACATCCAATTTTTCAAAAAGAAACTGTGTAAATTATGTACTTAGCGTTGAAATTGTGCTTAATTTTTAACCTTTAAATCCTCCGTAGACTTTATTTGTCATTGCTTTTAATTTTCAATTAGTAATTCAGAGAAAGTGCATACGTAACCGTAGAAATATATATATATATATATATATATATATATATATATATATATATATATAATCGAATGGATAAATATAGGTAAATATACGAGCAAGCGTTCGTATACAAATACATACACACACACACACATACACACACACACAAACACACACACACACACACAAACACACACATATATATATATATATATATATATATATATATATATATATATAGTGTAAGAAAAAACAGTACTCAATGTTAAATAACAGAGTTATTTAATATATTAAAATATATACAAAATACCTTACGTTGATTACACAACTCGGGGTTTCATGCTTTTCGTAATCTTCAGGTGTAAGTTTGGTGTGACACCCTTTGTTTAATATTTCTGATTGTAGCGATATATTTTATTGTTAGGATGGATTATTATTGTTGTTAAGTATTTAAATGAATTGTAGTTTAATTTTGAATTTGAATCTGAACCCAGATTACCATTTAAGATTGAAAAAAAAGATTAAAAATAAGAATTATAAATTTTAATTTTAAAACGGATGCTGTTATTAAAAACACTTTGAAGATCAAGGAGGGGGTAACTTTTTTTAATTTAAATCAAGAATCAAATTAATTAAACGTACAGTGATAAAATTATTATACAAAAAAAAAAGAAAACATAAATAAAATAAATAAATAAATAAAAATAATAATGATAATAATAAAAACAAAAGACCTTAATGATAGTAAGACTAAAAAAATAATAATAGCAATAATATTAATATGATAATGAAAATAATATAGCATAAATCCAGAATTTGAATTAGGCCAAAAAATAGTGTTACCTAACTTGATCTTTAAACACTTTCTTGTTTAAGTTTGCAGATGTTTCTTCGGTAAAGTATCATATATATATATATATATATATATGATAAAAATTATTACAAGGATTTGAGATAATTATAATTAAGTAATTCACCGAGTCTAGAAAAAACCTCAACAGAATGCAGAAACCACATGACGGATGTTTCGTCCTATATTTAGGACTCATCAGCAGTGGGCATACACTAGCAAGAATTGAAACCCGGACAATTACGTTATCAAGCAAACGTCATACCAACTATACAAACGGGCTTCGGCGACGACGAAGGTAGCGAATTAGACTCGATATAGCGCCGGTCGATCACATATTCTGTGGTGGAACTCATCCGAGTTTCTCCTTACCCATAGGACTGTGCCCCCACGAGCCACGACTACTATCACCAAGCCGCTCTATCGATATATATATTCGGTATAGTACCCCCACATACACATATACACATAAACCGTGTATTTCTGTCAAACCGTGTAATGAAGGTCGTCCTTAACGGATTCTCCTCCAGTTCCTTTCTCACGAACGCAGGTGCTCCTCAAGTCTCTATCCTGGGCCCTACTCTGTTCCTTATCTTCATTAACGATCTTCCCGATGCCATTAGTCCCTAAGCAGACGACACTATTATTTAGTCCTGCCTCAATAGCAAATCTGGTATCGCTGACAAAACTAACCTGGCCGTTAGTCTCGAAAAGGACCTCCAATCAGTTGCTGACTGGGGACAGAAAATGGCTGGTAAACTTTAATGCCTCAAAAACAAAACTGCTCTCTATTAGCCACCACAGTGCACCCTCCTTGTCTCTCATTAGAATGTCTGATGCTCAACTCCACGAGAGCATCTCTTTGTGAGATGGAACAAATACATTGAATGAATAACTACATCTATCGCAAGGAAATTTGGTCCTCTATGTCGCGCCAGAAGGTTTCTGTCGCCCGAGTCTATCCTTCAAATCTATAAATCAACCATTCGCCCTTGCATGGAATACTGATGTCATATATGGTCTGGTACCCCCGCTGTTTGTCTTGAGATCCTCAACAGAATCCAGAGACGGATATGCAATGTGACCGACCCTGATCTGTCATCACGTTTACAGGCGCTCTCTTACAGACGTGCCGTCGCTTCACTATGTCTTTTCTACAAATACTTTCACTGTAACTGCTCCGACGAATTACATTCGTTAGTTCCCGGTTAAATGTAGCCGTCTCTTCTACTGCAATAGCTTTATGTCTCGCACTTCCCGTCTGTGGAACTCCCTTCCTCTTACTTGCTTCTCTGTAACGCCTTGCGTGCTAGTAGCAAGCCCTCCTTGCTTTTTGGTGAAAATATATATATATATATATATATATATATATATATATATATATATATATATATATATATATATATATATATTTAAAGACATTTTATGTTTAACATTCATTTTATAGATACAAGTATTTTAGTAAATGCGCTGTTTATAATAAACAGTATTAAATAACATTTACCGGCCTGAATGTCCGAGAAATTTTCATAGAAAATATTCATCCTTTGACAGGATAAATAGAGCATTTACTGAAATACTTGTATCTATAAAAAGAATGTTAAACATAAAATGTCTTTAAATAATTGTTTGACTTTTGTCCATTTCAAAATATATATATATATATATATATATATATATATATATATATATATATATATATATATATATATATTATTAGTGTTTTTTCTTTTCTTGTGTTATTATAATTTTCTTTTCTGTATATAAATTATGAAATTGGCCGAATGTTCTGTATGTTCGAGAACTTTCGGCTATCCTTTTCGAATTATTTTATTTTTATTTTTTAACTGTATGTATGGAGAGTCTTATATATGTATCTAGTGGTATAGAAAGGATTTATTTTCAAAACACGGTCAGCACAATATGGCCCTGTTGATAATTGATGTTATGGAGTGTTGGTTTTTTCATTTTTATTAATAAAGACGCATAGAGCCCGTGTTCAAATTTCATCATTGTCAATTTGTCTGGAACGTGACTTCTTGGTGTTCTCGGTCAGGGGAGTTGATCCAGGAACGTTCTTGAAAACCTTAACTCCACAGGTGGACCCAAGCCTTGTGGGTGAAATTGGGTAGACAAAACTATTTGAGAGCCGTCAATAGTTGTGCTGGTCATCGTGACCGGAGGCTTGAACGTTCTGGCCTTGGTCAGACTGTTGATCACGCTAGATAATGTACCCTCCCCAGACAGTGTAACAAAGGTCCGTTCGGCATTCGTCGTCGTCGTCGACGTAGGCCTGTGTCTGTCAGGGTTGACTATGGGTAGCATCCTAGTTGTAGTCTTGGCTGCGGCATCGATGTCTGTGACTGTAGAGGCCGATGCTGGAGTGACAATCTCCGTTGCAGAGGTCGCATGTGTGTTCTGTCTCTGGTCTGTTGGAGCTGTCACTTTGCTTTCTACGGGTCCGCCTTTCCGTGGCGACTTGTGTCAGCTTCTCCTCCCCTGACTTGAGGTGTTTTGTCAGGTTTCCTCTCCATTTGGATCGTATGGCTTCAAGGCTCTCCCAGGACTCTGTGTTGATGTTAACAGCTTTCATATCGCGCCTCAAGACATTGCGGTACCGCATCTGTGGCCACCCGGTGGTCTGATTCCAGAGGCCAGCTCTCCATACAGGTCTTTAGGGATGCGGCCATCTGGCATGCGGTGGACGTGGCCTAACCAACGGAATCTGCGCTGACTGAGCGATGTGAACATGCTGGGCAAACCTGCTCGAAACAGAACCTCAGTGTTGAGCATCTTATCTTGCGACGCTATTCCCAGGATGCGGTGAATGCTTCTCATGTGAAAGGCGCTCAGACGCCTTTCTTGCCTGGCGTACGTTGTCCAAGTCTCGCTTCCATATAGCAGTGTGACGATGACACAGGCGTTGTCCGCTCAGCATAGTTGCAGTATAATGCACAGGTTGGATCTGCGTGTGTTGAACAAGCACAAATGTGTCTCAACCTGCGTCTGCAACAAGGATTGACCAGCTGACCTAGTACAAGCGGCCATCTAGTATCCTCATCTTGATTATTATAATCACATCGTTTCGGCAGTGGTACCCTCCGGTACTTCTTCAGGTGTCTGTTGTACTCGGTGAATATCTTCAAACCGAACACTTGTTATCATTCGGCTTTCCATTCTTACGGGAAATCAGTTAATAATCACCAGTCGATGTCACCTTTGTGTCGCCTGTTCGTTTTCACACTGAACAATAAGACATTTCTGCAAACCGAACCTGGGATTGAACACATATATGCCAGCTCTTTCACACACACAAACCGTTGCAAGCCTATCACTAATCTATTTCCATGGCAAGTGTTCCATCAGTTATAGCTACGATTCGCATACCACCTCAACGGAGTCGAATTATTCTCATTTCCCTTCGTATTCCATTAGGAAGAAGGAAGCGTAACATGACGAGCTTCTTCTCCGATACCGTTACGTCATGGATCAAACTCCCGAGTGGATGTTTCCCCGTCATTCAGCAGCCCCTGGATTGAATGGTCTTTGTATTGGGTGATCATTTAGTAAAACAAAACAAACAAACAAAAACTTTAATCCGCTTTTACTAAGATTTCTGTCCGCCGGTTTCTGAAAGATTAACATTTGCCATATTCACTTGATAATAACAGAGAAAAAAATTAAGCCAATGGCGACATAAAAATAATAATTGTTTTTAATAAAATTAAAAGAATTTAAGTCGTACAATATTTTATTCTCTATTTATACAAATATCCATCCAATCTTTCTTACTGTAATCGCTGGTTTTTACTATTACGCAAATAAGCCCCGGTTTCCGTACGATCATCAAAGTTAAGCGACGTCGAGTCTGGTCAGTACTTAGATGGGTGACCGCTTGGGAATACAATACCAGGTGATGTACGCTTGGATGTGCGAGTAGTATAATGACTCGGAATAGTTAATCGGAGAGCCGAGTTCCAATTCCAGCCGTGATTGGTATATTTATTTACCTTTTAGAAAAGTATGAATCTCCTCCCAGCTATGGGTTAATTAGTAAGATGTATCACTAAATCATTATTAACATACAAAAAATTCTTACAATCTAAAAATAGTTTCTTGCTTTAAATAACCTGCAAAGAGTTGATAAGCTGAAGAAAATGAATCAGTCAGTCAATGATTTTTCTCACCTTCATTATGTCCTTTGAGTGTCAAATTTTCGAAGCCCTCTTTCCTCATTATATGTTACAGACATTTCATGTTTCTCTTTCTGATTTTAAGTAAAGTATATTTTTGTTTTTGTTTTCCTTAGAATCATTACTTCCATTTATTTCACTTGACATCGTAAATACAAGTATTTCTACATCATACTTATTATAAAACCCAGGTTTTGTGTGTGTGTCTGTTCGTTTATATATTGGATCGGATTTCCTACATTTTTCAAGCGATTTCAACAAAACTTCACAGGACTACGTAAAATCACCTCGCGGTGGTTCTGACAGCGCCAAAAATTGGAAAAAACCAATTGTTTTTGCACGAAATCAATTTGAAAACACGATTAAGAGGCAACGCTGTCGCGAGAATGAAAGGGAAACAACTCATATCGAGTTATACTTATTATAAAACCCAGGTTGTGTGTGTGTGTGTGTGTGTGTGTGTGTGTGTGTGTGTGTGTGTGTGTGTGTGTGTGTGTGTGTGTGTGTGTGTGTGTGTGTGTTCGTTTATATATCTTTTTATTTGTACCCCCTTACTTATAAATAAATTTATTAATCAAAATGTTTCGAGAACAGCTTTTCGGATAATAATAATAATAGTAGTAATAGTAGTAGCAGTAGTAATAATAATAATAATGAGGAGGAGGAGGAGGAAGAAGAAGAAGAAGAAGAAGAAGAAGAAGAAGAAGAAGAAGAAGAAGAAGAAGAAACAACTGTTTTTCTTCAATCCTATACAACGATACGATGCTGTCGGCTTCAACCAAAGACAATACTTGCAATAAAATTAAGGCAGACCTAGGTTTATAACCATAAATTTACTTCTCTTTTTTTTTTTTTTTTTTAAATATTCAAGACAGAATTCCCTGAAATAAACTTTAATATATTCCAAAGAAGAATCAGCAATTTTATAGGACCTGATCTGGCTTCTCTATTTCAGTTACTTCCCCACCACCTCCGTAATGTTGCACCTTCTTGCTTCTTTTTCTGTAAATACTTACAATGGGGGATTGTTCGGATGAGCTTTTCACTATCGTGTGCCTAGACTTTAAGCGCAATACCAGACTGGGGACGAGATCTCATCAGTTTACCGTCCAGTTGGCTAGATGCAACCGTAAGTTCTATGCTAACAGTTTCTTTTCTCGCACTTCTCGCTGGTGGAACTCTCTTCCGGCTACATGTATTCCAGTCAACTTTAATCTTTAAAAATTTAAATGCATTGTCAATCGCTATCAACTGTCTTCCTGGTTACTCTTTTCTCTTTTAATTCATTAGTTTTGTTCATAATTCTTCCACACACAGTAACCCGCACCCCTGTGTCTTAGTGACTTTACTGCCTTGCTAGGGGTAAACTGGATTAAAAATAATTATCCTTCTTAATGTCTTGAACAGTTGGGTATGTAAAACTCTTCAGTTTTGTTCTTAAACTAATCAATAAGTACTGATGTCTGTAGACTTTGATATTAGTCCATGTTCTCGTAAACCTTTATGCAAATGACTCACAGTAAGTCGGTAACAAATTGCTTTGGTAAGCAACAGAAATACGGCGTAAGGATGTAGGAAGAAAGTAAAATTGACTGAAGCAGGGGTTGAGGTTTTGTCACAAGACACAGACATTTGGAGATCGATCTATCAGCGTTATCTGAAGTAGACACAAGCGGGAGGATTAGGCGTCTCTTTGCACCAAAGCGGAAAGCCTACAATTCGTCTTTCTTCGCAGAGTCTCACTTCCATTGACAATTATAAAATCATGACAAATCGGACTCCGGAAGTGATTCTGGGATGTAAATATTGAACTTAATAAGTCGATATTAGAATGTCGGCAAATGTCTTCTGCTGGAAATCTATAAGCGATGATAGATCAGAGGACAGTAAGAAATATCCATTCACGTATACTTACATAATTATATATATATATATATATATATATATATATAATATGAAAATATTACATAACTTTGAAATATTAACTTTTATATTGACTTGAAGTTTCTTGGTAAATTTTCTAGTCTTCTAGTTTTAAATGGTATTTCCATTTTTTTTTTCATTTTTTTTCAGTTTCAAACAAAAAAAAATGGAATACCGTTTAAACCCATACCCCTGAAGACTAGAAATTTTACCAAGAAACTTCGAATTCGGATAAAATTGATATTTAAAAGTTAGGTAATCTTTTCATATAATATCATTAACGCTCTATTTTTAATATTATTCTAATATTTTTTATATTGAGTACTATAGCTAAAAAAATATCTGCTTATATATATATATATATATATATATATATATATATATATATATATATATATATATATATTTATACAACCAGTTTGAAGTTATGCAAATCAAATAAACTTCAATAACTCAAAAAGTTCTGAAACAACATTTGTCAAATTGAAATTCATCCATTTTCACCCTAAGTAAAATATTTAAGTAAATTATCTGCCATTTTTAATGCTTAGTGGACTGACTGAAGTTAGTATGCAGATTAAACTAATATTATCTTAAGACCACGGAAAATCTAATGAAAACTATTTTCTTTTTGCCCATAATATATATATATATATTAGCAAAAGGATTATATATATATTAGTAAATATATATATATATTAGTAAAGGATTATATATATATATATATATATATATATATATATATATATATATATATATTAGTAAAGGATTATATATATATATATATATATTAGTAAAGGATTATATATATATTAGTAAAGGGAAGGATCTAACAACTGCTGAAAAACAGAAAATAACAAAGTTATTGAGTGAGGGAATGTCCAAATTGAAGATATCAAAAGTGCTTTGCAGAGATCATCGAACGATAAAGAAGGCTGTTGAAAATATAAGTAAGTTGAGAACTCGGTGCAACAGAAAAGGCTTTAAGAACTTGCTTCCTCGAAATGAACGTAAACTAAAGTGAGTTATACCAAAACAGCCACTTTTGACCAACTCTCAGTTTTTTGGAAAGGCTGGAATTGAGGGAGTTAAGAAAAACAAAAGGTGTAGAATACTCTGTGAATTGGGACCTGCAACAAAAATCACCTCTCACTAAATCAAATATTTTAAGCGTCAAGATTAGGCCAAGAAATACATGAAAATTGAATTTTTCACGGACGAATCTCGAGTGACATTTGAGGGATGGGCCAAAATATTCAAACGTGCCTATGGCTAAAAGAAGACAAGGAGGTAGTCGTGTTATAGCCTGTAATTGCCGACCAAACCATCATTGGACCATTAAACAGAACAGCGATAACTATTGCAATTTTATGAACAAGACTTTCTTTGCATGGTACAAGTCCCAGTCTCGCAGTTTGAAAGTGAAGTGTGTAGCTATGCACGACAATGCTCCTTCTCATGTATCTAAGCAGACGCGTAAATTCTTTGGGCATAAAAAAATTTATAGGAGAGAAGATAATGCAGTGGCCACCATAAAATCCTGATCTGAATCCGATCGAAAATCTATGGTGAAGATGAAATTATATGAAGGTGGCAAACAATATAACAGCAAAGCAGACCTATGGGGAGCAATTAAAACTAACATGTCGGAAAATGAACCTGCTGACGTAAAAAAAAAATAACAAAATCAATGGATTACTGTGTATTATTGAGAAGAAAGGTCACTGTATTAAAATGTAAATGATTCAAAGAAATTATATGTGTTTCTTATTTGTTCTATTATGAGAGCTGATCAATTTTTTCCTGATATTATTAACCTTTTTGTTGAAGTAAAATGTGATTATTTGGTTTTGACTAATAACTTCAGACAACAGTTTTTAGAATATATCAAATAATTTCAATAAAACATAATGATACGACCTAAAATTTTAACTCGGGTTTTGTTTTGACATCTAAATTTGACATTTTTCAGACAACATTTCAATTCTTGAAGTTTATATGATTTGCTTAATATCTTCAAACTATATATATATATATATATATATATATATATATATATATATATATATATTAACGTTTGTTTAACAAGTCGAATGCACATGAAACATGATTAAACAATAAAACTCAAGCAGCACAAAACTAAAAATAGCAGAATTTATTTCTTCTTTTTCTCCATGAAGCTTTAATAAAAGTGAAACTTGTTAGAATGATAAACTTTTCCTATTTGTTTTTTATGTTATAATTCTGTCGGATTCCGAGTCATATTATTTATATATTTGATCCCAATACATATATATATATATATGACATTTTTATGCTTATACATTCTTTTTTATAGATACAAATATTTAAGTAAATGCTCTATTTATAATAAACAGGATTAACAACATTTACCGGTCTGAATGTCCGAAAAGTTTTCATAGAAAATATGCGTCCTCCAACAGGAATCGAACCTGTATCCTATACGGAACCGTCATGTAGCCTGACGTGCTTTTACCGATTTCGCCACAGAGGAGCGTTAGCAAGGTCGAGTTTACTGTTTTTAAACTACAATTCTCCATGATTTTCTCACGTACATTCATATCTGCTCGATGCGTATCCAAATGTAAACAAATGACGTCACACATTATGAAATGGACAATGTCCGACATTTATTTTAAGACATTTTTATGTTTATACATTCTTTTTTACAGATACAAATATTTAAGTAAATGCTCTGTTTATAATAAACAGTATTGACAACATTTACCGGCCTGAATGTCCGAGAAATTGTCATAAAAAAATATGCGTCCACCAACAGGAA